AAAGAGTGTTCTACCTATTACACATGGAATAACCCATCAGCACACACACCATTTTGTTTTTTTCAAACACAAATAAGAGGGTCTTTGAAAAGTTCAAAGAATGTGTTGATAAAAAAACATATACTTGGGTTTCCATATTTTTACACCCAAATAAACTTCTACATTCATTCCATTTCCCACAAACTTTGGAAGTTCTCTCATGTACATACCCATCCACAAAACAAGTCTTAATTAGATTGCCCTACCCTAATGTAGGAGTCCTAGAATAATTAGACCGAGTACTTTCACAAACATTTCTAATAACTTTGTAGTATGAAAAACAAAATGAAACAACACTTGAAAAATAGTACAGAGGGTCCCAAGAGTACAAACCAGGAAACAGCTTAATCTGATTTTTTTTTTTTTTTAAAGGTACAATATTAGGCCAGCCCGTGGCATGGTGGTTAAGGCGGCTAGATCCCACATGGCCAAATCTGCAGTTTGAGTCTCCAACCAGCAGTTAGGAAAACACACTGGGTGCCTGCATGGACATGACCAAAATCCTGAGAGGAAAATAAAGAGAAGGGATTACAGTGTGGCCATCTCCCCCGGAGTGTGCTTTCTCACATCCTCTCTCCTCTCGCTCCAGGGAGCAGGCATGTCCTATACCAAAAACTTAAAAAAAATTTTTTTTAATTAAAAAATAAAAGGAACAAGAACCCCACCAAAAGAGACTTCTTTTAGGTTTATAGATAGTTTGATATCTACTGTAATCATATTTCAACATTTATTCTAAAAACAGTTGGAAGGCTTCTGCTTGGTTATAATTCATTCAACTATAGGTAGGCTGATCTACACCTACGGTTAAACCTAATAAAGCTAGTTTTATTAAATTACTTTTATGTCATCTCAAGAGAATGAGTTTTTCCAGAAACTCTAGGTCTCCATTCTGTTAAGCAAAATATCTGAACTTTGTCTCAACTATCACTGCTTTCTCATAAAGATAAGTCATGACACATTAATTCCAATCTCAGTCATGGGAAAATGGACTCATCTTTACCATTATTCCTCTTTTAGTAAGGGAAAAAAAAACGTGTAGAGACTAATTAAATCATCTGAGTTTAATTAAGAATAGTTCGTTTGTTAAATTCAACCCAAATTCTCTATTTCTGTTGGTCACCTTCTCTAATCATCAAAGGAACAATTTTCTGAATCTTCAAAATAATCATCTAAGTATAATAATTTTTCAACATGACTTTTTTGTTTGTTTCCCAAACTGTGTTCCTTCCTTACAATACTTGGAAATGTAAATTAGTGTATCTCAAAAAAAGAGCTATTTTGTGGGTGCATTATGTTTTGAGTGCATACATTTGGGAAAGGCCATATATGGTGCCTCCCTTTTTGGGGTCACAATGTACATTAACTATTACAAGTCCCAAAGCTCTCTAACTTTGCTTAATATCAGTTTTCAGGGTTCCCCTACTGTGCCTATAAATATTCTGGGTTGAGTTAAGAAAGTGAGAGGGAATACTAACGTCAAGCATATCTCCATAGAGTTATTACTCATGAGTAAGCACTCATAACTTACTCATCACCACTGGGAACAAAGCCAACCCTAATTTAGCCCCTAAATGTATGGGATGTACAAAAACACATTTGCAAATATCAAATGTTGAATCAATGCCAGATTGTAACCATGATTAAAACTTGCTTCCAGCAACACGAATACGAAAAGTTCTATTGTGTCTAACAGTATAGGGTGGGTTATTTCAAAGAAAGGCTCAATTCGACAGAACTTTAAATGGTGCAAATCTGCATAAACCATACCATGTTCATAAACAGTCAAAATGTATCTCATTCAAAATAATAGCCTTTAAATAGAGCATGGCTGTCCCATCCACAACTCATACAAAACAAAGAGATTTATAAAAAGTACTTCAGGGTGTGCTGGTGGCATGGTGGTTAAGGCAGCTGGATCCCACATGGTCAACTATGCAGCTGAGCCCTAGACATAGTGAAAAACACACTGGGCACCTGTGCATGTGTGCCCAAATCCCAAGAGGAGACTGGAGAAGGGATTATGGTGGAGCTATCAATCCTAGGGGAGGTTCTCACTGTCCCTCTCTCCATCTCTTTCTCTGCCTCTGGCAAGTATATGTTCTCTCTCTC